CCCGTGCCGGCGGAAGATGCCAACGAATGGGATCCACCAGGTCCTGAAGATCCAGTTCGGGTTGATCAACTGCGAGAGCCGGTACCTGACAGCGGAGAGCTTCGGCTACAAGGTGAACGCCTCGGCGCCCAGCCTGAAGCGCAAGCAGATCTGGACGCTGGAGCAGGATGAAGCCGACAGCTCCGTCGTCTTCCTCAAGAGCCACCTGGGCCGGTACCTGGGTGCCGACAAGGACGGGAAGGTGCGGTGCGAGGCCGAGCAGCCGGGCCGGGATGAACGCTTCAGCATCATCACCCAGTCGGACGGGCGCTGGGCGCTGCAGTCGGCCCCGCACCGGCGTTTCTTCGGGGGCCGGGAGGATCGGCTCTCCTGCTTCGCCCCCAGCATGACAGAGGGGGAGCTCTGGACCGTGCACTTGGCCATGCACCCCCAGGCCAACCTGCTGAGCGTCAGCCGCCGCCGCTACGCCCACCTCAGCGCCCACGAGGACGAAATCGCCACCGACAGCAACCTGCCCTGGGGGGTGGACGCCCTCATCACCCTCTGCTTCCAGGACAAGAAGTACAGCCTGCGCACCGCCGACGAGCGCTACCTGCGCTGCGATGGCACGCTGGTACCCGAGCCCGGCGCCCGCACTGGCTACACCCTTGAGTTCAAGGCGGGCAAGCTGGCTTTCAAGGACTGCGACGGCAAATATCTGGCACCCACGGGGCCCACCGGCACCCTCAAATCCGGCCGCAGCTCCAAGCCGGGGAAAGACGAACTCTTCGACCTGGAGGAGAGCCACCCCCAGGTGGTCTTCACGGCGGCCAACGGCAGATACGTCTCCATCCGGCAGGGTAAGGGCTGCCTGCACCCTGCTGCCTGCTCCCTGCCCGCCTCGGGAGCCCCGGCTGCCCCAAGGGCATCCCCGGGGATCGGCTCAGCCCCAAGCACCCACAGCCATGAAGGGCTCCGTGGGAGCACCCCTGGGACCCCCGCCACGGGAGGAGACCCTGCAATAACAACAAGGGGGAGGCTGCGGCCAGCGGGGCCAGGGTGGGAGCAGCAGGGGGGGCTGTGCAGGGCTCTGTGGGTGTGTATAGGGGTGGGTGTGCGCGTGCAGGGCTCCGTGGGTGTGTATAGGGGTGGGTGTGTATACGCATGTGTGCGCGTGAGCAGGGCTCCGTGCAGTGCCTGCAGGTGCATGCGTTTGTGTGCGCAGCCCATACGTGTTTGAGCACGGGTGATGCCGTGTGTGCACGCGTGTGCACAGCTCTGTGCAGCCCATACGTGCGTGCACGCGCCCAGGGCTCTTCCCAGCATGGTGGGTGCACACGTGTTTGTGTGTGCAGGGCTCTGCAGTGCTGCACGCGTGCACGTACGTGTAGGGCTCAGCTCCGCAGGCGCGCGCAGAGCTCTCTGCGGTGCCACGTGCGTGCAGGGCTCTGGGCAGCCGCGGGGGTACGTGTGTTTGTTTGCACACACAGCTCTGCGCGTGTCCTCCCCTGGCACGGGGCTGAGCCTGGCAGCCCAGGGCAGGCAGCTGCAGGCAGGAGGGGCCGGGCAGAGCCGTGCCCGCGGCCAGACCCCGCAGCAGGAAGCCGGGCACGGGCCGGCGGATGGGACCACGGCCTCCAGAGCCCGTGGGGGTCCCCGAGGGGCCCTGCTCGCCCAGGCAGCGGCGGCTGTGCCGCACCCCCGGCTGCCCTGCCATCCCTGAGGGCACTGGGAACACACCCTGGTGCCAAGCGGCTTAGAGCCGGGTGACGGTGGCAGGCAGACTATAAATAGGGGGTTTGTGCACTGCGGCGCTAACCAGATGGATGCAGCAGCAATCAGATTAACCAGCCCAATTAGCACGATTGTTCGCAAAAGGATTTACCGCTGCCGGGGAGGGGCCGGGGGAGGGAGAGCGCAGCCATGGCTCCTCGGTGCACGTGGCTGGAGCGGGGCAGGCTGCGAGGCGCGTGCCCGTCCCAAGGCCC